AATCAAAAGGTTCAGTCGGCCTCCGCCGCCTGGTACCTTTACTACTCAAGCAGGAGTGACGGCGACTAAGTAACACCAAAGTTAACTCATAGTCACTCTCTCAAACTTAGTATGGAGCCTAAAAGGTATGAGTCGCCCGCCTGTTTTTAACAAACAGGGGCTCTCAACCACTACTCCTGCTAGGTTAACAACCTATGAGTTAAAAGCCAACAAACATTGGCGAATAAAGGGGAACAACCGGTACCCACCGCTTGATACCTCTACAACTCAGTTACTTGGCGACTAGGTAACAATCATGTTTACTTGGCCACTCCTTAAAAATTTAGTGTGAAACTAAAGAGGTGTTCATACAGCACCGGCTCACACTAGATTAAATATGGCGGGGAACAGTCGGCCTAGACGGCCTAAAGTCTCTAGCCTAAAAGCATGACAAGTAGGAAACAACTTTCCTACTTGGTTAAATTTACAAATGACAGGACCGCCTGCCTAAAGGGGATCCAGTCTTTAAAATGGTTCGAATACCAATTGGATAAATGGTCGACTGATCGTCTAGCCTGGAAACAGACAACCAGTCGTCCAAGGGCATAGGTAGCGTGACTAACTATCCGTACCTGTCTGCAACTATCGGCCATGTAAAACAGTCGGTATAGTGTACAATTGGATATCAGAATATTCAATACTTGAACAAGTTTGAAGTAAAAAAAAAAAATTCATTAAAAAGAAGCCGGTCATTAAAGACCGGCAAAATATTCAGAGCCCCGGCCCCCTGGCCGGGTAAATACAAACAAACGGCACGCAGGCCGTGGAAAGAAGACATAAAGCTTAAGAAGGGGGCAGATTTTCAATATCAGCAGCTGCCGCCTGGTCAGCACTCTTCTTGCTGGACTCGGCTTCAGCTGCATCCTTCTTTGATGCATTACCCCCAAGCGGCACAAGCGCCACTACCGGCTGCTCCTCCTCCTCCAACGCCTCCTCCAACGCCTCTTCCTCAGCAGCCGCCAGGATCTCTTGATTATATCTATCAGAACACTGGCGGTACGTTTTTTCCCATGAGGCAAAGTCAGCATTGGGGAAGAGGCGGCCCCAAGTCATGCGCTGGATTTGAGCAGAGTCTTCCATCATCTCCCGGACCAGCTCTTTCTTTTCTTGCTAGGCCTTTTTCGAGAGCTCCTGAGTAAGACTCTTCTCCTGGGTCACTAGGCGTACCTTTACGCTCGCCAAGGATTTCTCCAAGGTTTCGTATGAGGACATCTTTTGGCGAAGAGGTCTCAGCTCGGCCTTGAGGTTGTTGATGGTCGCCTCCAGCTCGCTATTCCTCTTCTGGGCCGCCTCTAACTGAGCCCGGATAGCGGCGGTAGCCTGCGCCTGATAATAAAGAATATCAATGGTCAGAACTTCATTTTGGGCAATTTGAAACATTGCCTTATCACAGTCAGAGGCGGCCATAGCTTTTGCAGCTTTTACCTCTTTGTTCTTCCGGTCAAGCGGCTTGCGAAGGCCGTTCACTCGGAGCAGGGCCTAAGTAAAAAGGGGGAACAGGCGTCAGTTTCCAAACAAAAAGAAAACAGGCGTCCTGGAATTCAAATACTCAAAAATATGCTAAGTATACCTCAGCAAGGACCCCTGCAATCCCGTCTAGGTCAAGGGTGCCGACACCCCTGACCGCCTCCCTTTCAGCTGGAGGAACGACCTTGATCATAGACTTGGCCACCTCGACCAAGTCAGGCTCCTGAGGGCCGGCTGCATCAAGCATAAACAAACGGATTAGACCTAGTAAAGAAGGGAGCAAGTCTAAAATTTACAAGGATAATTTCATACTTCTAGGTGGCCCAGCTGGAGTTTTAGAAGAAGTGGTCGGCTGTTTCTCAGCCGCCGCATGTTTCCTGGCAGAACCAGGAGAGCTCGCAACAGTCGTCCTCCGGGCCTTGGGGTCCGGCTGTTGGGAAGAAGAAGCTCTTGGAACGCCCGTCTAAAAAAGAAGAAAAGAGTCAGTATATGCATAAACACAACTCCAAAAAGAGGGTGAAAGGTTCGAAGCCCACCAAGGGTGCCCCCTTGTTGGGGGAGTCGGTTGAAGACTGTTGCATGATGGAGGCCCGCAACATGGCCGCCGCAGTCTTAGAGGCGGTAATTTTGCTCATGGCGTCCGCTGCAAAAAAAATAGCAAAGTTAATAAGTCATAACAAGAAATGCATGGAACAACAGAGTATTCGACAGGCCGGCTACCTCTTGAGCACCGACTGCTGAGGCCACAGGCGGCCAAAAAGTACTCGTCGTAGAGCCATTTGAAGCTCGGGACGCAGTGCAGGGTACTTGCTCTCGTACCCCTGAAGTAGAGTTCACCTTCGACTCTACTTTGAAGAGTCCTTTATCTAGGATCTCGTTCTTAGCCTTGGGGGGAACAGGCGGCATGCTGCGGCCGCCTGCAAGAAGGGGCGGATTCCTGTTCCACCTGTTGAAGCGCTTGTTCAGCTCTGTGTCTGAACTCTCAATGATGAGGAAGGTGCTCCGCCAGTCCTTCCATTTGTTTGCTTTACCTCTCGTCATGAGGTAGCCCCTGTGGCTCGTCAATTGATACCAGCCAGTACCGCCTGCCTTAGGGGTCCGGCTGAGGTAGTTCATGTGGGCGAAAGCCTCGAAGCTCGGCTCCACCCCGTGCAGTTCGCACCCGGCCACATAGCCGAGTACGTTGACCCAGGAGTTCGGGGCTAACTGCCATAACCCCAACTCATACCCATCCAAGATCCGCTGAACAGCCGGATGTAGTGGGAAGCGCAGCCCAGCCTTGATGGCCGCCTCGTAGCAGCCAAAGCAGGCGCCATCATAACTGGTACCAGCCGGCCAGACGACTGTGTCTTCTGGATCCGGCACGAACACTAAAAAGTCGGGGCCCATTGTGTGGTTTGCGATAAAGCTCTCCACTTTCTCTTGCATGGCTGTGATCCGGCCCCGAGGTACCGTGCAGTAGTAGGGGGTATTTTGCTCTCGGTGAGAGGCAGATGGCTCCGCCCAATCGTCCCCCTTCTCAACTGCGTGAGAAAGCCTCGCCTCTTGCAGGCGACTGTTTTTCTCTTCTGTGTCCAGAGAAGCATGGCCATAAGAGTTAGACTCGGAATCGTCCTCTGACGAGTCCGAAGAGGACGACTCCTCCCCTCTCCCGGAGGGGCCCGCCTCCTCTCCTTTAAAAGGAGAAGGAGAGAATGTAGAATTGTCAACTGTAAAATGGGAAGGGGTCACTTTGACTCCTCCCTCAGAACTGCCGGCTTTCAAGCCGCTTTGTTTCACTTCCACATCTGGCGCCTGGTTAGATGTTTCACTAATCGGCACCCTATGGGAGGAGCCGTCCTAGTTTGAGATCCTACGGTCTTTTTTGTTCTGGCCATCATGCTCTGCATAGACACAGATACAGTCGGACTTTGTATTAAAGGGCAAAGATGGGTCCAGAAAAGGGCAGGCGGCACTCCTAGTCCTAGATTCAGCCGTCCCCGGTGACCGACTGATCACTAACCTAGGTCGTGTCGTGTGCTTCCGTGGTGCCATTTCAAAAAAGAATAAAGTACAGAGAAAATTAAGAGTAAGAGAACCGACGGTTACCTGAACGAGTGACGATTGATGAAGTTCTGAAAATCCTTTGCAGTCGGCTTGTCAGAGCAGGCGGTAGGCAGAAAGGGTCCAAAATGTCAGAGCAAGTTCAGGGGTCCGAATGTTCTCTCACAAAGTTTTCAAGTGTGAAAATGACCGAAGTCAACACTCCTTTATATAGGCGAAGTGAGAAGGCGAAGGGTCACTTCCAGAATTCAAAATTTTGGCGGAGAATCTCTCGGCCTCTCGCCGAGTGACACCTGTAGCAGGTCTTCGCCTGTTACAGGGCGATACCTGTCACAGGTAACACGTGACCAGTCACGTGCCACCTGTGAGGGGCAAATGATTAGGGGATTTTTCCCACCAATCACCATCTGACAAGTAGACCCATCAGGTTCCGCCATGTGTCCGTCACATGGGCCAGTAGGAGCCTGCCACGTGTCAAGCAATGATCCGTCCACTATGGACCAATTACGACACGACACGTGTCCATCCCATGACACCTGGGATAACCGGTCACCTAGGCCCAACTTCCGAGGGAAGCCTAATCAGCCCAAGGTTAACCTAAAACTAGATTGGCACGTTTCCCGAGGTTATAAATACCCCCCTTAATCCTCATTAGGGGGGGGAACACGCTAAAAACGCAGATTATACACATTAAACACTCTCACCTAGAGAGACCCAATCACTTTAATTTCCGCATTAATTACTCCTTAATCAAGTACTAACTTGACTGTCGGAGGCGGATCTCCAATCATCCGGAGCATCCGTTTGTTTTGCAGGTACAGGCGTCCGGTTCCAGTCTCGGAATTGTAACTCTCCGCAGGACATCAGAAAACCCCGAAACACAAAGTATTTCATCTTTTAAAAAAAATGAAATAACTATAAGAGGAATTTTTTTTGTGTGGTTGACCACACGTGTAGTCGAAGTTACTCGGTTCGAATAACCCTGATCGACTAACCCCTCAAGTTGCCCTGACCAAACCCTAAAGTAAATCATGACCGAGTAACCCTTTGAGTAACCCCTGATCGAGTAACCTTTGATCGAATAATCCCGGTCAAACAGTGTGGCCAGTCACATATAAAAATTTATGTAATTAAAAAAAAAAAGGATTTTTTTGTAAATAACCACTCATAAATGTACCCTGTGTTGAACTAACCACCCATTTTTTTTTGAATTAAAAAATAACACCCTTATTTCACCAAACCAGTAGGTTTCACCACCCCTCCTATATTCCGACTTGTTTTCCGATTGAGGGCGCACGTGTCACCATCCTATCGGTTTAAAATGAC